GAGAGAGAGAGAGAGAGAGAGAGAGAGAGAGAGAGAGAGAGAGAGAGAGAGAGAGAGAGAATGCTACTTGAAGGAAAAATTCACAAAGAAAATAAACGAGACAACAGGAGAAAGAAGTGAAAGACAGGATCAGAGAAATCAAAACTGTCAAAATAGGACAGAATAAATGAAGAAATAAGTAAAGAGGAGAATCTGAGATGAAAAGGAAACTAGAAAGTATTTTAGTACTGAAAGAACCTAAATGAGACAAGGGGAAAGATGAGAGGGGTGAGGGAAGGGCGAGGGCGCAGATGAGTAGATGGGAGGAGAAAGCCCAGGGATTTCGGACACTACGGATACCACAAAAAAAAAAAAAGATAGGGGAACTAGAATAAGGAGAGGGACCTTTCTCAAACACAGCGTGAGCATGGATGGAGCGGGAGAGTGGAGGGTGCTCGGTGGGTGCAGGCAGAGAGATGTGAGTGAGAAGACTCCCATGCACAGAGAGAGTAAGAGAGAGGGAGACAGAGAGTGAGAGAGAGAGAGAGACATGCACAGCAAACGTTCTGAGGCTAACCTGGCCCTCACAGCAACTGGCTCTCGCCTGTACCCTGCTCAAGGGTTGACGGCTGTCCGTGTGCCTTCATCGGGAGGGGGAGGGAAGGGTGGAGTGGGGGTGAAACCATGAACAAAATGAGAAACTGAACCAGTGGGAGGGAAAACAGGACCACTTTTGTGCAAAACAATCTGCCTTTACAAGCAGAAGAACAAAGCAATAAAGCAATCAGTAACAAACAAAAAAATAAAATAAAATAATCAACACATCAATTGAACAAAATTTTAAAAAAAATAAAAGAATGCTTCTTTCCAAGCAAAGCAAATCATAGAGGATAAATTAACAAAAAACAATACGATATCATTTGTAAGAGGAAGAACAAGGATCCAAATTCCAAGAATGAAGAGAGGCAAACATTAAAAACAAAAAACAAAACCCAGGCAAAATTCTTAGAACAAAAGTGGCAAATAGACAAAAATCGACAAATCCCAAGAACAAGAGAAGCTAAATACAAAACACAGCCACACACACACACACACATTCTTCTCCCCTCATTCCTCCACTGTCTGTTGGCAAAAGCCTGACAAAGAAAGGATCCATGGCAGTACACTCTTCTTTCTTGTTTATTCTCGGATGGCAAGAAAAAGCTGAGAGACTGATGCCATACACATGTACAACAAGAACAATCTTGTCCTATCGAAGAACGGGAATCTGAAATCTTCCTTAGCAAAAAAATATATTTACGCAAGAAATATATGAATATATTTACAGCAGCTGTTGCATTGAAAAAGATACTTTTTTTCTGTGCGAGATGAGAGTACCTTTCAGAACGGGTGGTATGCCAATAACATTCGTCATTGCATTTAAAAAAATTATTTATTCATGTGTATGACATGAGTAACTTTCAGAACAGAAATTCCTTCAACATTTGCTTCTGTATTTTATTATATATTTTTTTAGTAAGAGTTTTACTGGCACTTGCAACACAATAAGGTCATATAAGTGCCGAAGACTAGGGGTGTTACAAGAGAGTAACAAACACAAAAATGAAGGAGGGAAGATAAAGACGATAAGACTTTTTAAAGGAAAGAAGGAGAAAACCACACCAGAGCACCCGCCAACCACCAACGTATTTTATTTTGATCAATAATTGTTTGTATAAAAGACAAGAGAATCTTTCAAAACTGATTACGCCCCAAAACCACAGCAAACAGAGAACATTGTGTGAGAAGTTTGACAAGTAAAATTTTTTTAAACTGGTGAAAAAAAACTTTGCTCTTTTCTTTGAGAGGGTGTGTGCGTGTGTATGTGTGTGTGTGTGTGGGTGGGGGTAGGGGACACGGGGGTGGGGGTGGGAGAATAAACTTTTAACTCAAATAGGTTTAGTTAAGCTCCTTATCTGAACCAGACTGAGAGACAGATCCTCAACGATTCCTGGTGGTGAAGATGGTAAGCAGACTAAGAGACTATCAGACATGCTCATCAAAGAGGTCAAACACTCCAAGCTGGAGTCACTTGCCCACCACCCACACCATCCACTCAGACAAGACCTGCCAAGTTTGATGACCCACATCACTGATGTATGGGTAAAGATATCCCAGAGTGTGCTCAGACTCACTGAAACTCGCATCTTATTTTTCCAGACTGAACTCACCCCCCGCAAGAAAAGATCACAAAAAAATCCCACAGAAAAAAACCCCTACTACCAAGAAAAACCCTTGAACCCCAACAGAAAAACAACAACTCAGTAACAAAGACGTTGATGGTACCTACAGAGATAGGTAAGTGAGCCACTGTTTAGATTGGCCTTCTCTTCTTAGATATGAGTTTGGGAGTAATGTTGAGGAACAATGCAGACCTATACACATACACGTAAAAATCAAATCAATTTCAAGTGGAAAGAAAATGACGGAGAAAACTCAGGAACCAGAAACATATTCGATCAGAAATATGGGACACAAATGAATCCGTTAAAGAAATCCACTTGAGGAGAGGAGGAGGAGGGAAAGGGGAGGGGGGAGGGTGGCTACACCAATATAAGGCAGTGGCCAACAACAACCAAAACCAAGTGAGAAAGCAGCAGCTCAGGCATAGATACACCAAGGACAATCACACAATCACCACAGAGAGAGAGAACACAACACTGAAAAAAAAATAAACGAACGAAATGGCAGCTGAAGCTAACGTTACACGGCGCCAGCGGGCATTTTTCGCCTGTCATCAGAAAGAAAATCTCCTGCGATATGGATACACACACACACACGCGCGGTAAGTATACAGAAGTGACAACTAATAAAGCTACACACCAACATCACCCCCCTGAGTATGTGTATACAAAAGTAACGAAAAAGGACACAAGAAGAGGGGAAGGTCGGTTGGCTTCAACTTCAACAGCTACGACAACAACATTGGCAGCAAACCAAACCGTCAAAATAAATAAAGGCTACGGTAATGACATGTATCTAGGGAGTGCAGCGTGACCCCAGATGAACTGGCACAGAGGCACGTCACTTACCAAGGTAATCCAGTTGATTTAGGGTCATATCCCAAATATGATTCTTTTTCCCTGGAGAGCATTGAGGCGAAGGAGAGAAAAAGTAGGTTTGCTTTAGGGCAAAATGGAGGGAGAGATACCCCAACAGCCTTCTGGGTGCACAGGCCACAGAGGACCCAAAGCCAAGGAACAAATCCATAGAAAAAAACAACAACAAACCAACAACCCACCAACGTAGAGAAGACATTGCCAGAGCCTGTCAGGTTTCAGCTGTAGTTTAATTAACAGGTAACTGGATTAACACTAAACCAAACACTCACTGAAAAATTTCTTCATCGGATAGAGTACCCATAACCCCCCTCCTTAGAAAATGCTACAAACACACCACAGATCAAATCTTACCCAATAAGGTATAAAACCTAGACAGGAATTAATACAATATCATTAAATACTCATATAAATACCACTTTTGTTGTAAATTTGTCCAGAAAGTAAAATTGATGAGGACAAAGTATTTACATAGAAGTGAAACTAAAAAAAACAACAACCCAGAATCTGAAACTTTGCCTAAAACTAAACCTAAATATTGCTAAACATATGGTGTCTTAAAAAACAAGAGCCTCTGTAACAGTGGACAGTTCTGTTTTAGCCCCAAAGAGAAAGAGCACTAACACAGGAAACAGACAAATGTGACATGAAACAAAAGTAGTTCAATCAACAACAGAGGCACAAAAATGGTAAAATCCCCCAGGGAACCATAATCAATAACAAAAAATAACAAAAAAACAAAACAAAAAGTGCAATTTCAAAAAAAATTTAAATGACTCAATCAGTCAAAGAACCCCCCCCCCCCCCCTGTTTAAGCAGTAATTAACAATAATATTGTTTTCAATTCATTTGCAGATTTTAAAGGGTGAAAACTGAAACCGAGTTGTGCAGCCCAATAGAAAGAAAGATGAAAAATGGTGATGATTCACTAAAGATGATCGGGGGCTGTAAAAAAGTGAGGCGTCCCTTTTTTTTTACCTTCGTTACAAGTGATCCTTCCCATTTAGTTCAAGTGCTACAATATTGAAGACAGAGTAAAGGGAAAGAAAACAATGATGATACAATATATTATACACTCATATGCATGATGAGTGACAATACCGCTAGAAAAATGGGAACTGCAGTCTATGAAGTGCAATAGAGTCACGCAAATCATTAAAAACTAACAAAAGCTAAAACTGAAGAAAAAAAATTAAATCAGGGGTAGAAACACAATAAAGCTAACGACAGCTGGAACTGGAGATCACAGAGCTCTGCTCTATATAATCGAGCTAATAGCAGCGGCCACAAACGAAAGCACGAACCAATGAATGAATGAAAAAGTCACGGAGAGATAAATGAAAAGTTCCCGGGGCACGACGACAACAGAATCGTAACTGGGGAAACAAGAAACCAAGAGGCCATTGAGAGAGAAAAAACAACTGAACGCATGGAGGGCTAAGAGTGGACTACCATGCCACAGAACACATCGATCGGTTCACAAACAATGAGGATATACCTATGCAGTTCTGGGCCGGGATCACTCCTTTTGGTGAGGCAGGTGGCAGAGAAACAAATAAAAGCAAATATATCAGTTACAGCTGAGCCAGGTGAAATGTCTGCCAAGTGAGTTTGTTTGCTAGTCAAGAGAAACACAATGACACAATTAACGGCCACTTTGTGTAGGGAAAAAGTCAGACAGATAGACAGAAACAAGAGAGGGAGAGAAAAGGAGAAGGGCTACTAACCAGTGATACCCTTCAACCACGCATCTAGTAAGGCAAGTGGCAGAAACAAAGAAAAACAAAGAGATCGATTACACAGAAAACAGGTGCGAGTTGGTGAAAATCACCCATGACTTGTCCATGAGGGAAAAATATGATGCAGCATAATGGGGGGTAGTGAGATGTTCCACAAATGTAACGTATGGTGTGGTGAAAGACGAAATGATCGCACAAGTGACATACTATAGACCTGTAGAAAAAATATGAGAGAGATGGCTGTAGATGTAATACCCCATGCCCATTGCCGGATTGGTTCTCAAATAAAAACTGATTGCCTGCCTCGCAGCCTTGAAAACAAACGCATTTGTTTTTCAGGCCGCAAGTCTGGCAATCAGTTTGTGCCACGATGGTCGCTTTTCGCCCTCAATCTGGCTGGCCCCGCCTACCAAACTGAACCAATCGTGCCAATGGGCGTTAGGTATAACACTTGAAATACCAGGACAAGTAAAAACCTTAAATGAACGAAATGTTAAAGGGCAAGAGTAACATTCCGTTACAATGTTTGAGGATGAAAAAAAATTTATGCTGAGAACGATGAAAGTCAAAATAGTAATGCAATTATCAAATATATTTAAATATGCTGAACGCGTGAATCTTGCACATGAATGAAACAAGACCATATCTCAATCTCAAAAACATAATGCATGGGGGGGGGGGAAGAATTGGTTAGAAAACTGAGAAATGGCAATTCAACTGTTATGCTTGTAGAAAAAAAAATGGATTTGTAAGACTAGATACCCAGGGCACAGACAAAATTGGCGTGGGAAGGAAGGAAGTCACAAAATAAAAAGGTGGATGCTGAATACAGGGGTGGGTGATCCCTCACAATACCGAGAAGACAAGCGAAGTGTGGAAATGTTTTACCCTGCGTCCTCAGAGACACATACCCCTCAGACTAGCCGGGGGCCACTAGCGGTAGCAGGGCTCTGGTACTCTAGAAACGTGTATTTGAAGTAAATAAATACAAAAACTGTTGATTTGTTGAAAATAAAAGAAGCTAAAAAAACCCAACCAGTTGTACTCATTGGGAAGAGTAACTTACTTGAATATACAAATCTAACCGAATTTAAAAAAAAGGCCACTGGAAGCAAAACTTTCCTACTGCTGTCACTACAAAGTGAGACTCACAGGAATATGAAAGAAAAATGTTTTAAACATAATTTTCCTACTAACATGGTAGAAAAAAAATAAAGGTAATTAATTCTTCATTTTATTTTGGTCAAGAGTCAGTGCTAAAAACCCTGGACAGCTCATTTTGTTCGTTAAAAGTAAAAAAGTTGGAGTTGAGAGAGTGATCATAGTGGAGGCAAGACAGACAGACAGAAACAACAAGAACAAAAAGAAGTAGGATCTACCAGTGGCGCTTAGTTCTTTGTGAACCACAACCATTCACCTTTACTGCTAAGTTAGGGCATGAGATTAGAGGACAACTGAAAAGAAAACATTGTCAACATTGGCAGCAAATGGGCCTCGAACTAGAGAGTCTAGCCTGGTGATACAACTAAACTATACCGGTCTAAAGACACACCTATTCAAATCCTATTTTCCCCCCCACTAGTTTGATTCTTTTTTCCTACAAGTATGATCAGAAGCCAGAGTTATAGTCTTTTTCTGAGAGTGTTCTTTTTCAGATTACAGGTGCCCATGTATTTTTTATAACGACTGTTGTTCACTAAATGGGCCAATAGGCACAAAACATGTCACTGTGTAAACTGTCAACTTCTTTCTTCTGTTTCACTACAGAGTCCCTTAGAGCCACAAGGGAGTGGGCTTTGTTATCATTATTATAAATGTATAATTAGAATGAACTGTCAAGAATAGCATGTTCATGGTGACGCTCACTAGAGCTGCCGAGGGAGGGAACTTTATCACCATTATCATACGACGCGACACTCACGATAGCAATTGACAGAGGAGAACTTTATTAATCATTAGTATAAGCGTGACATTCGAATGAACAGTGAATATTGCATCATGACACTCACCAGAGCCATTGACAGAGGGAACTTTGTTGTTGATGGAGCCGTCGGGCGACTGGTAGCTGATCATGTCCCGTTTCTTCGGGCTGCTCTCCTCGTTGACCACCACCACCGAGCGGTCGGCCACTGTGTTGGTGCCCATGTTGTTGGTCTGGGAGTTGGGGAAAAATTGGGGTGGGGGTAATAAACAGATGATGTGTTACAAGTAACAAACATTCTTTTAAGTTTTGAGTAAAGAGAAGCGCATCGACATTTGAAACAATCATTTAGAAATGAAAAAGAGCAGGATAGAATTTGAGTTTGAGTAAAAAGAAGCGGTCACTTAGTGCTGGGAAAAGGCAAGATATAAAAAGAGAAATAATAGAGAGAGAGAGAGAGAGAGAAAAGAAGTAGGACCTCACAAAGGCACCCTCCAAAGACAAGAATTGGGGGAGAAAGAACAAAGAGGATTTTGATATGAATTATTAGCTTTTATTAAAAAAAAAATTTTAGTAACCGTTTTACGACACTTTCAACACAATTAGGTCATATTAGTGTTGGAGATTATAGGTAATACAAGAGAATAATACACAAAAAAAAAGAAAGAGGAGAGATCAGGACAGTAGATGTTGATAGAAAAGAAGGAGTAAACCACTCTAGAGCACCTGCAAACCACCCAGTATCAGTCTCTTTCCCCTCTCTTTACTGCAACAAAGCACAAAGGTAAACCCACATACTTGCATTTAAAAAAGGGAGTCTTTTTGTTGTCATTGGAAACACTAAAACAGCTGTCAATTTACTACAGCAAACCATAGCTTGTGCAGAAGTGCCCACACTTATAAGGCTGTCAAATCTAATATCTAATAGTTTGTCTCTGAACTCTCATTACAAGAATTCTGCTAGGAACAATGAAAGGCTTCCATGTCTGGCGAACAAATATGGCTGCTAAACCACCAGCTTTAGCCATCACATATCAAGACAGAGGAGCATACAAATAGCAAGGGAGCACTCTTAAAGAATGAGACAATGACCAAAAAAAACCCCTTGAGGGCGGATTTTGTGAAGCAATGCTTGATGTAAATGGAATGAAAAGGAATATGGGGTGCAATTTACACTTCTCCTTGCCGTTCAGTTTCTATAATAATAGAACAATAACAGCAGCTCTGAAATTACTTTTAGTCCACAACTAAACCTTTGCTCGTTCCTTTTTCAAGCAGAAATGAAAAATGTTTTGTATATAAAAAGCGAAAGATCTTGTCACAATGCTAGCGTTTTAGAGCCTGTAGAATAGCAGCTTGCACTGTATGCTTCCAAGGACGTTGGAATTGTTTCGGAATGCTATCAGGTTTGCTGGGGTAGTAATATAGATTTTAAGCACATAGAGCTTGCTGTTAAGCGGGAATTTGCGCTTTATAAATGCTATATATAATTACACTTTTAAAACTTAAAGGAACCTTTGCTATTTTTGAAGAGGGAAAAGTTACACACCGAATAAACAATGTATCGAAACATGGCTGACATGAGCACAGGTTCACGCATATAAAAAAAAAGTCTTTTTTAAAAAAGAATAGACCAACACCCTACTATATACAAGCAAGTCATTTCTAAAGAAGGAGCGGTGTAGGGCAATGGAAGAGCACACATAGGAACATAACAGTAATAGAAGATTGAGAAGGCTCAACATCTTCAGCAATTTAAACATTACATGATCGTTTCTGGTATTTATTTTAAGTCGAGTGTCAGCATTATTTTTTCACACTCCTGTAAAGACTCAAGTCAATGCAATATTCTATGTTTGGCACAAAATTCAACAATGTAAAAAAAAATATCCCAATACTAAAGAAATGAAATATTAAAAACAGTGCAAATTAGAAATGGCTCTAAATATATAATAAGAAAAAACTCTGAACTTAAAGACGAAAAAAAAAGCCTACATAGAAAGGAATATAAAAAGTAAGATACGAATACCTGAACTTTAACTTTTCTTTGTGACTTTTCTTTAGTCTTTTAGCTACCAGTTGAAAAATCAATAAGCCATTAGCTAATGGGTTGACTAAGATAGGGCTCAAAGACATGAACTGCGCATGATAAACCAAGCCTAGTACTCTCTTGGCCTTTGTTTCACTGTTATTGTTCAATCACAATCCCATTTCCCTACACAGCAACTCTCCCAGGGACCTCGATGGCCGCTAAATACTGAAACGCCAATCGGGCTGCACTTAATCAAAAGTGTGTACAAATGATGATTTCACAGACTCATAAACGAATGACTTTTTCTCTTGAAGATTTTCACTTTTCTATAGAACATCAACTGAGTCGAAATTTCTTCCAAAGAGATGCTTCACTTCCAAGTGACTGGAGCAGTAACCAAAACAACCATTTGTGGAAGACGTTTCTATTTCCAATAAATAAGAAAAAAGACTAACATTGTGTCCTGCCCATAGAAACCTGATAATATCTGCAGATAACTAACTTCATACTAAAAATAAAAAGATTAAAAAAAAAGAAACTTAATGAAACCCATAACTTAACAAGTGTAACATAAGAAAAATAATTTCTTTGAAGATTCAAAGCCATAAAAGCGTTTTTTACTGTCCATAATTAAAAGAAATTAAAGTGCGAAAATCAAGATTTAAGAAAGTTTTCAAAGAAACTCCAGCATTACTCCAGATTGACAACATATAATAATATATTTATATTCAAATCACAAGAAACTGCAGTAGTGTTCTTAAAAAGATGGAACAAAAGATAAAAGTAGACTATATAAAAAAAAGACAACATTAAGTTCAGGAACACCAAGAAAACTAGTCGGTTTCAAGGCAGAAACCTGTTACTATCTTTAAGCTTTGAAGCCTTGACTAAATTCACTAACACATCTTTAGATTTTGTTTAAAAGGAAAAAGGACAAGCGCGCAAAGTTCCAAATAAAACAGGAAAAGCCTGCTGACAATATTTGGAGCACTAAAATATTTGAAGAAACTTATAAGCAAAATACCCTTTCAACTTCTGGCAGTACCCTGTTAGTGCACAACTTCAAACATTTCAAATGAATTGTAAATTTCAATGTCTCACACAATTTATGTTCAATTAGAGCGGGGATATTTTAATACGTTTACAATCATTTTTCTATTTAAATTAATTTTACTATTCAATGAAACTCAAATGCTGCATTGACAAAAAAGAAAAAAAAATCAGATTTGAAAGGAAATCCAGACATACCTTTCAACTTTTTGTCCCGGCACCGGAATTGGCTGATTGGCGAAATAATTGAAAACAGGCTATTCCTGATAAAAAATGTGCACCGATAATAATAAATCTCCTCTTATTTTACCGGAGCAGATTTATAAAAAAAAGAAGTAATTCTAGTGCTCTCACTATCTTGTAACACTGCACAGGCAAGCAGGCAGGCAGGCATGCAGACGGACGCGCACACATGCGACCTACTTTCTGCGTGGAGCCATAGTACTCGTGGTGAGCACTGACCGCATTAGCGTCTTTCTCAGCTTGAACAACACTTACATGTGACACGGGTTCTGGTTCTGGCACTACCATGCCCCGACGGTCAAGCAAGCTGTGGAGAGGAGACAGGCAACAGAATGATAACTGGTCAGTGACTCTTTCATCAGGACATAATTTGGTAAGATCAAGTACAGCTCCCCTCTCCCTCCCCTCTAAAAATTTTGGACCTAGTGTGACATCGAGGGTTGGGTTCAAGTGTGGTTGCAGCTACGGCTTACAGCAACAGAAAACAAGAGGGCTGAGATTGTTGTGATGCACCATAGCATGGGTGGGGGTGGGTGGTGGGGGGTGGTGGGGGGTGGGGGTGGTGGTGGCTGCGATTATTTACCTTTAACCATAATTCTTATGAGCTTACTTTTAAAAATTGCAAGATCTATCGTATATACCTAAGGAAAGAGCTTTTTAGCAAACTAACCAAAACCTTATCTACACACATGGACCAATAGAACATTGAAAGGGAATATAACAAAATAATGAACTAGGGACTTTCCCATGATGCTTTTGTTTTATTTGTTTTAGTTACACTTTTATGGTACTTACAACACAACTGGGTCATGTAAGCGCCGAAGATTAGACCTATTACAAAAGCGTAACAAACACAAAAAAGAAGGAGGAGAGATAAAGAAGATAGATGTTTGACAGGAAAGAAGGAGCAAACCACATCAGAGCACCTACCAACCACCCATATCGACGCTTTTATGGTTTAAGTAACACAGAAACCCCCCCCATTTTACACCACGTCTATTGAAATAGTTGTCAGAACAATATGAATCTGTCAAACAGTCATGTGATCCAAGTTTCTAAGTTCCCGCCAGTTTCCAGGAAATCAGTTTTTTCCCTTTCCCTCTACAAAGGATGTCATCACACTAACGTGGTTAGTGCCCAAGGCTATCAGCGTGTCCTGCCCTGTTTTAAATAATCTTTTTCTTTATAAAGAGTATTACTGCATTTACAACACAAATAGGTCATACAAGTCCCTCAGATGACAGGTGTTACTAGAGAGTAAGACACAAGTAATAGAAGGAAAGAAGGAAGAGAGGAAAGGATGATAGAATGATGTTTGACAGGAAAGAAGGAGCAAACCACGCTAGAACGCCTGCAAATCACCCAGTGTCCTGCTGTGGGCAGGTGTGTTTTAGTAATAGTTTTACGGCACTTGCAACACAATAAGGTCATATAAGTGCCAAAGATTAGAATTGTTACAAGGGAGTAACAAACACAAAAAAGAAAGAGGACAGATAAAGATGATAGATGTTTGATAGGAAAAAAGATGCAAACCACACTAAGGGCAGATAAAGATGATAGATGTTAAATAGGAAAGAAGAAGCAAACCACACCAGAGCACCCGCCAACAACCCATGGTATGTGTGTGATAGTGAAAGCCCTGCCAAGGTACCAAGGTACTCACCTCGGAGGGTTCGGTCCACACAGCACCCCGAGACAGTTCTTGAGGAGAGAGCCTTTACTGAAGGGGTTGAAGTTGTCTTGACCTCTCTTGGCTGTGAACGTGCCTTTGATCTGAGGGGGGAAAGCATAGCGAAAAAGTAAGACCATGTCTGAGATAGTTTTAATTTTAGTAACAGTTTTACGGCACTCACAACACAATTAGGTTATGTAAGTGCTGAAGATTAGAGCATTTTACTCGAGAGAAACATACATTGGAAAGATAAGGGAGAGAGATAGGGATGCTAGATGTGGTAAAGGAATGAAGCAGAGCAAACCATACTAGAGCACCGACCAACCAAAGTGTGTTAGAGTCAGAGAGAAGAGAGACACATCGATACAATAACTCGTTGGCCTATGAGTCTCGATCTAAAGAGTCTGGCCTAGAAGACCCTGTGCATCCGGCACCGGGGGACATTATTTGGTGACAGACACATTAAGGATTATTTTGTATTGGGGGAAAAGCGAGGCAGATAGACAGATAGACAGACAGACAGACAGAACAAAGGAGGGACAATAAAGAAGTAGGAGCTGCCAGTGGCACCTTCCAACCACCCGCCCCATTGATCTGTGTGAGGAATACAACACGACACTTACACTCAGTGTGTATTGTTATGATTGTAAAAGATTGTAAAAATGTTATGCTCCCTTTAACACAATTTAGATCATTAAGAGGGCAAACTTTTTTTTACCCTGCCTGTCAGGGTCAATTTGAGCTGAATGGGGAACAACATCTCAGCAGATGGACGAAGATACTAGATTAAAAAAATAAATTTGCACAACACATGAATCAAACTCATGTCTTCTGCATGCAATGGCAAAGGACCTGACTATTACATCACAGATGCCAGTGTGTACTGTTGGGAGAAAGAAGTATTTCGTATGTGTATGTGCAAATGTGCACATGTTCAGTTTCATTATCCCACTTTTGTGTCTGAGCAAACAAATGCATTTTAAGGAGTATGAATGCACAAACATTAATCAACATTTATTAAAACACAGACATAAAAGCCATTTTGAAAACACACAAGTGAAAGTTGTCAAAATTACCTACATTTATATAAAACCCAAATATATATTATATATTTGAACCATTACTTACTGTATTATGCCACACATTTTTGACCCCATTAACAAACCATTGAAGTAAAAAAAAATATTGTAAGTATAGAATGACGATATAAAAAGAAGAAGGATAAAAAAAGGTAGAAAGAAGAAACAATGGACAAAAAAGTTGGAAGAGTTTCATAAATGTAGCAGCACCACATGCATCCAGAGTACAAAATTGGGAAATATAATAAAGTGCACGTAGGAGAAATGAAACCTGAAAATGGTCATAAAGCAGAAATTTGCACCTGGGTACAAGGTATGCCAAGGCCTTTTCTTTCTAAAGTGCTAATATTTGCCACTCAATAACGAGCCTTTCAATTATAAATGATCTTATTACGTTTGTCAATGAACATTTTTTTTTCTCGCTAGGAAAATTAAAAAAGAAAATTGATTAAAGAAAAATATTTAACACGAAGGAAGCATGAAAAAAAAGAAAGAAATAAAACAAAATAATAAATAGAAGTTAATCAAATGTCGCAGACATTGATAACAGTTAATTGACTGTTTGGATATCTTTAAAAAGAATTTTTTTAATTGAAAACTGATGATTAAAATGAGGTCAAGGCAGAGACCAGCTGGTACCCTCCTTGCCAGGAGGAAAGCATTTCCTCTAAACTAGAAGAATTACTCTTGAACAAAGAGATTCTTTCCCATGTCACTTCAGTTACTCAATGTTTTAAAATTAATAGGACGGAAATAACCAGAATTGAAAACTAAAAAACACCATTCAACCATTCTGGGACCCCCCCCCCCCCCCCCCCCCCCCCCCCCCCCCCCCCCACGCACACACACCTGAAAATAAGTTTTGATTGGCCCTTTCAGCAGGTAATACAAGTACTTTTTCCCCCTTTTATTTATTAGGCGTTTGTCACTTCTGAACAATGCCATTTTCAAAGCGAACCAATATGACTACAATTAACAGCATATGAGTAGATTGTTGCTGTTGGCTTCGATTTAATAAAGCAATCAACATTAATAGTAAATGGAAGACGTTAATATTCATAAATTCCTTACCATTCACAGATATTAATGTTCAGTAGAAAACAATGTTTCAATGACTGTTATAGTTTTTAGGCTCATATTCCTGCACACAGCAATGGTGAACCAGAAGGCTTAGGAAACTATGCATAGAGATCTACACTCTTTTATCAGCAACAACCAGTTAACTTTTGCCAACATGAGCACGCCTTGCTCATCCGACTTCTGCAGAAACTACTGGGGACTTTTGTTGAGCATTACTCACATCTTCATTGGTGGTGAGCTCAGAGGCTGTCAGGTAGGAATGGAATCCCGCCAGGCCCACCACAGACCAGATGGAGAAAAAGCACACAAGGGCCTCTATCACAGTGAGGTCAGAGTTAAGGAACATGGGCTTGGAGAAACATATGACCTGCCACAAGCAACTAAAGAAGCACATACAACAGTCCAGTGCAAAAAAAAAATCAATCAAAATAGGAAAACAGAAAACAAAAGGACAAAAAGTGTCATAAAGGAATACACAGAGGAAGACGGTATGATATGCAAAAGCAAGTAAAAATAAACAATTAGAATAAAGGAATTGGGAGAAATAAAAAAAACGCAACAAAGATATATACACATAATATGACAACGGCAATAAGGATATGGGCAAGTATCTGTCATATACTAGTCCCCCTTTTTCCATAAGATTCATTCTAAAAAAATACTTTCATCATATCTAAAGTCACAGGATAAATACCTTTACTTCATTAGTCTCTTAACCAGTAAGTCATGAAAACAAAAAAAAAGACAGTAATAAAACCCTCAAAAACCAACACTGACTGAACCCCCCCCC